TTCTCAATTAAATTAAGAATGAGGGATTTTATTAAAATGTTTTATCTCATCAGAAGGTTTTGGATTGGTCTATGTGATTCCTACATCTATGTTCTCTAAAGGTATATGGAAACGCATATTGTCCTAAGAGGAACATACGACCTAACTACATAATTAATTACATTAATTAATTATCGGGTTTTTCAAAATAATTATAGAACCTCAACTAGCATAAATCATTCAAATAATGTTGAGGTACTACTAATTAAGTTGAACTTATAATCAATATTATATATGTGTTCTATTAATTGAAATCAATTTAACAATTTAAATCAATTTAATTAATCTAACACCTATTTACTAAAATAGATGATTGTCGATCCAATTATCTAATTGGGATTAATTGAAAATAATTTTCCAAAAATTAAAATCAATTTGTTTTAAGTTTAATTTTAGAAATCTGAAATAAAAAAAAAATTTATTTTTTTTATTTTTCAGTGAACCGGTTCGGCCCAACCGGTCTGACCGGTTCGGACCGAAGCGGTCCGGTTCTGCCCGGTCCAGCTGACCGAAATCAGTGGGCCGGGTCAGTCGGACCGAGAACCGGTCTGACCGACCCGAATCCACGTGGATTCGGTCAACTAAATCGTGCACAACCATCGAACCGGCCGGTTCGACCGGTTCGATCCGAACAATTAAAAAATCGATGTTTAAAAAATAATTTCAGATCCGATTTTCCAATTTTAAACAATTTTAAAGCTGGAAAAATTCTAAACAATATTTCAAAAATATTTTAAACTTACGAAAACTCCCAATTACATAATACGACAATCACTACTTTAATAAATCAAACATGCATAAAATCATAGCATATAAATACGAACGCAATTAATTGCGCAACGAGCTCTGATACCACTGTTAGGTTTCGGGCACGCATACGCAGCGGAAAACAAAAATTTAATGTGATTTAAACGACTTTAAAACACACAAGTACATGCCCGACAAATTAAATCAATTAATTGCGTACCTTTGCGCTTCCAGCGAAATTAAAAACAACATACATGCTAAATAATTTAACCGAATTTAAATCAATTAACATGCTCGCGTTTAAACCAATAATCATGCTTGCAAAGATTAAAACGATTACACATAATCACATAAAATCATACGACAGCAAACATGCATTCATAGTTTAAACATAAACGAATCGAAACTAGGGTTTCGTATATTTACCTCTTGAAGCGTGAGGTAGGAGCGTTTAGCAAGTCGAGATTGCTACGGAAACCAATCCGTACAATCGGGGCAGCAGCGGTGCAGCAGCAGCGCCGGTGAGGCGGCTCACGGCGGCGCGTGAATTTCACGCGCGGTCTTCCGGGGCGGCGCGTGGGGCAGCGTGCAGCTTCGGCTCGTGCGTTGCTCCTCGATTCTTCGATCTACAGTCTTCCTCCTCTCGGATTTCACCTCGTATACTTCGATCTACTAAACACGTGGCACTAGACACGTAATAGTTAGAAAAACGGAAGAAAAAGAGAAGGAAAAACAATACCGAAACAATCGGCCAATGAATGGCCGATTCCGGTGAAGCTCCGGCGACGGCGGCGCGGTGGCCGAGGAGAGAGGGCCGAGAGAGAGAGGGTACGAGCGGCTAGGGTTAGGGTTAGGTCTTGTGTTTTGTGCAAGGCCTATAAATCAAGTATTTATAGTCCCTTGCATAAAACCCTAGCGGGCTTAAGTTGGACCGGGCCCAACAGCTTAAGTCCGTTAGTATCTTTACTTACTCGTCTCTCTCAATTCAATGACCGAAAAATTGCAACGATTACATTTTCGGATTCATTATAACTTCCTCGTCATTACGAGTGCCATCTCTCATTTTCCAACTTTCCAAAAGTGGAAACCCTAGTTCAGTGCACTTTCTAAATTTGGAAACTTCCCGATTTAGAAAGTTCACTAATACGTTCGCCTATTCTTTTCCTTTTCTTATTCTCATTCATAATTCCAAATTACGAATGTTGGACTCAATCATATTGACTTCCAATCATGCAAAGATAAACTATTTTATCTCTGACCGTTTATTCAAAGATCTCATGTGCACGAGCAGTGTGACCCTCGATGGTTCAGGTGTAAGCTAGCCGTGGGCCCACAACTCTTTGTGGTCAAAACTCGTCCCTTAGAGTTACGATTAAGATGAAGCTCGTTTCACCTTAATCACCCAACGAATCAAGATTGGCGTCTAGCAACTACGCGTCATGATTCCCTAGATACAAATGAAGTGCCTGCAAGAACCTTCAGATATAGTTAACGTACAGTACGGTCCCTTCGATACATATGTGCCGATCGAACTAGAGGCATTGGTTCATCGAGACCTCTTTATATGTTCGATGACGGTGCGATCGTTCCAAGTGTTGTAATCGTCACGTACATGACTTAGAGAATCGAATTCTCTAATCATCACTTAGTCAGCTCTGGCCAGAGACTTAGAATGATCACAAACTTTCAGAAACACACAGGACATCCAAGACTATTCTAGCGATCGAATCCCCGACTACAATGCACAGACCTCCCACTAGATTTCGGACTGCACGAACACTGGCCCTTGGGATGGTCCTCGGTGGAACTCAGGGACAGGTCACGATACAGCTGGTCCTCTAGTGAAGTCACGGTGATGTCTAGGTCATAAGGACTAATGGTGTACAACTATACCATAGATATCTCTACTCGATTATTGGGAACCACTTAGAGATTTCTAGGGTGAGGGAGTTCAGTGAACTCGTCAACTTACGAGCACCCACTTATGCATGCCGATATCACAATACCGTTTACTGATGAGATGCAGTACACATACACTAAGTGCTAGTCTTAATGGGAAAGGCCGATATCCTCATTAGTGGCGTAACCCTTCGACTAGGAACACGTTTAACAGTTATAATACTTGAGTAAATATCTCACGATCCTAACGATCAATTACTAGTACTTGTAATAACTGTAAGGACTATATCTATGCTTGTGACAAAGGGACAAAGATATAGAATGCCAAGATGTTTTATCATTAATACGAATAAAGGTTCGTTTATTACAGTAATAAATACGAAAGATCACAGCCACAAGTTGGCTTGTTGGTCACCTACTCTAACACAGTCCTCTTTCATATTATACGAATATAAAATCCTCATATTACTTGCGGACATAAAGTCTCTTTAGTATCAATTTAACACTTCACGCATATTAATGCAATGCAACAGGATCCTTATCGGAATCTCAACGTGACAATCTAAACACGAGATAATATACGACAACACACGAGTCACAAAAGCACATTATTACACATAAGTCATAAAAGCACACTATACCCACATAATTCACTTTATTCTGCAAAATAACCAAAATGCATGTGAATGCAATGCATGTTAAAATTCATTTTTCATTTTGTCGGATCCGTGAAAGATTAATTTCTATATTCGGATAATAAACCGTTTCGAGCCCGTCTGTGGATCCAATATCACTCATATCACTCGTATCACTCCTCTCAACCCTAGTTGGATACCGGCCCACCGTATCCGATTCGTTTATTACCCAAACATTCCATTAATCTTCCAATTTTCAAAACACGTGTTATGCATGGACATGAACACTTAGACCATAATCCTATTACCGTTTAAACACCACAAATATGTCAGAATAAGATAACACAAAGATTTACTAACCACATATTATCACATAGACTAATTAAATCACACATATGACACAAATACATACACGGTCGTACACGCACACACGGCAATGATATCCAATCAAGTGTAGCACAATAAACACAAATCACGTAAAGATTATTGTTCATCCACACACATACACATATAGTTGTACACAACCCCCACATATATTTATAACAGTATATTTGATATATACATAAACCATGGATCGGAGTTTCACTCGACGACCACGTAGGTTGCTATAGAGATAGTATACATATATAAGCCATGGATCGGGAATTATTCCTACGACCACGCAGGCTAGGATATATAAATATATAGTCGTTTATTTAACATATATATAAAGTATGAAATATAGGATATATTATATAACATTAACGAGTTTAATTGACCAATAATCCCACAAGTAATCTCAACAATCTTCAATACTTACACACATACGGCACACACATAATGAATCTCAAACCAACATACCAAATCAATCGAAACACACATAATGACTTAAATGAATAATTCATGACCATAACTATAATTAAATTCACTTATCATATTTTATTATCTTAATATAATTTTAATTCTTCTATTAACTAAGGGTCAAGAACTTAAAACCATACTTCTAAACATACTTTCTAGTTCAAAATAGTTTATTTTAGAAAATCGGACAGTTTTGGTATTTCAACTTTGAAAATTCATATCTCTTAGAACCTATATCCAAAACACCTGAAAATTTCACAAGATGTTCATCTATAAGTATATTATACCCTGTTAAAACAGTTTAGCAAGAGACTTAACCGTTTAAGAGAAATAATTAATTTAGTGCAGTCACACAGTTAAATTTCCAGAACAGAGCAATCAATTTTAAAATTACCAAATAATTCATACCTTGACCCAAACACTGTGAAATTTTGCGAATAAGAATTTTAATAAGTCTTTAATCATATCCAAGTAACTCACATAAATAAAATTAGTATAAAGTCGTATTAAACACATAGTTCATAAATGACTCAGAAACTGTGCAGTTTTAAAAAAGGGTCATAACTTACTCAATATAAGTCCGATTTATGCATAATTTATATCAACATGAAGCTAACCGAAAGATCTAGTCTAATATGAAATTTCATAATTTTATCTTAGGGATTACCCGATGAGACATGCAATACAAACAGAGGCTGCGAAACTGAAATTCAATTAGTGTTCATCAAGAACTTTATCTTCTAAAGCCCAAAATTAAAACCACAAACATATAATTCATTAAGACACATATAATTCATATTAATTAGGTTATTATTTCAGTAAAGACCAAGAGGTCCTTACCCATGAAAATCAAAGGCTAAGAAGGAGAAGAAACCAAGGATCCATGGAGTTTTAGCTTGGAAGTCTTTGGGCTTGACATGGGTGGTATTGGATTGCTTAGGAGATGTGTTTTGAGAGGTTATATGGTTGTTTCTTTGAATGTATTTGAGGAATCTCGAATTTAGGGAGAGAGAGGCATTTTGAGAGGATTTTAGAAGAGGAAAAGAGAGACTTTTATGAAGAATCTTGAAGGTTTGGAAGTGGAAGATGAATTCTTCCTTTTGGGGCTGTATTTGGACGAGAAAGAGAGGAGAGGAGTGATTTTTAGGCTGATGTATTTATGCTGAAAATAGTGAAGAGGAAGGGTCAATTTATATGGGAGTAGAGGGACTTACTTGTAATATAGAAGACAAGAGGGTGTAGATTGCAATTAAGGGAATTAGGACACTTGGAACTTGGAAGCACACCACAAATCCAACACCCACAACACATACACACGGCTATTTTACAACACTCAAGCACATGCACACACAAAATCTATAGATATATATATGTATCTATATATAATATTAAAATAATAGAAAGAAGAATTTGGGAGGAAATTACCATGTATTTACCGGGGGAGAGAGAGATGGAGTTATGGGCATGTATGCCACATACATGTACATTAAATAAACATGCACATAGAACATACATACATGTATACACATAATTAAATCCTCACATATATAATCAAGCACATATAATATATGATAGTATACATATTCATATAATATGTCATATAAACACACCATACACATACACATGGCACATTCATATAATTCACACATATGCATAAGAAATTACACGGCTCATGCACACACTTAAGACATATAAATATTTAATTACATAATAAAAGGGAAATTGAGTGAAACTATTAACCAAATTATAAAATCTATTATAAGTCATATAAACACTTAGATAAATGGAATTAACTAATTACTAATCATAAATCCATTAATTAAACTATGAAATTTCATGAACTAAACCCTATTATTCATTTAATCATATTACCTTAATTAATCATTTAATTCGAAAGAAGTCAAATTATAGAATCTAATAAACACAAACATGAAATTATTATAAACACTATAATTCACATAATTCATAGGAGTAGAGTCACAGAATCATAAGAATAAATTAATTACGAAATCGAAGTTATTAAATCATTTAATCAAACAAGTACACCTAATTCATAAATATCATAATTTATAAAAATCACTTAACCGTGCACTTAGAATGCATTGAAATTACTAATTAATCCATGAATGTATATTCATCATAATCTCATATAATGCATGTAAGAAATTAAGGTGCATAGCATTTACTAATTAATTAATGAAAGGTAATGTATGTATAGAAATGTGCAAAAACGATAATTTATTCAATAAATCCCTATAATATGCTTATGAAAATGTGGGGTGTTACATATATAGAATTAAAAAATCAAATAAATCATTCAATCATGATCCATCCTTGCAGAAAACAGAAAAAACAGACTTGTGTTTGAGGTAATTTGCAATCGAGCATTCATACGAGGCAAACGAGGCAGCTAAAAATGCAGAAATATCGACGAATAATCGTTATATTTCTACCACTACTAGTAACGGGAATTCAACCGTAACCACTTTAAAGATTGTAAATGATTTTGATTTGAACAAAATCGGAGATGAAGATTTTGTGTACGACGAAAATAATAATGATAAACACCCGTCGGTATCAAATTCGAGTAGTCGGTATAAAACTCTCCATTCTTCTAGTTTCTCCAAGTTTTTCCTCGGACAACATACGCAGAAAACGACAGATAGTGTCGGTTCCAAAACTCCCGAATTTTCCGATTTTGGGATTAATTTAAGAGAGTGGCTACAATCCGACGGCCGTGGTGCATTAATCAAGAACGACAGACTGCGTTTGTTCCGGCAAATTAAATCGTGCATATAGTGGACGTTGCACATACTCAAAGGATTGCTCTACTCGAATTTTGGCCGTCTTCGTTTATTTTATTACCAGATGGGGATGTTAAATACATCGGTTTGATTCAATATTTTGTTTTCAAATTCTTTTCCAATTTGAATCGATCGAAGAACTTTCTGCGGCAATTGTGGACTAGAGTTGTGATATTTTAATGTTATCGAAGACTAGAGTTGTGAATGTTGACCAAGGATTAGGGTTGATGCCGGTTTGTAGGATATGTACGCGGGGCCCGAATATCGGTGATCAGATATCGGTGGTCCCCGCGTGCGGACATGCTTTTCATACCCACTGCTTTGTTCGATGGATGAAATACAACAACTTCTGCCATTGGTGGCGATGCTCCAGCATTTGATGATATGAGTGATTGGCTTTACAAGGAAATTGGGAAAAAAGATAGGTCGTCGCGATACCGGAAAATTTTTGACGGTGTCGGAAAATATTTATTAAACCGTAAAAGTTACGTATTTCAGCAAACCAACCGGTCGAACTACCGATGGAAGGCAGCATCCCCTGTATTGCAGCAAAACACGTTCTTATTCGACACGGGAGTTAGCCCTTTTTATTTGGCTGTTCAAATCAACCAAATGAAGCAATTTAAGGCAACAGTTGAAGAATCCAAATCACAAAGTAATAATAATTATATCCATATATATATATGTATATAAATGTCCATTTTTTTTTTAATATTTGTTGATACGAGAAACAAATCTTCCAGAACCGCATGCATATACACTACTAGAAATCCGTTGTTTATCTACGGACCCAAACGTCGCTACATTAGACAAATCCGTCACTAAATGGCAATTTCCAACGGTTGGCGCTCGTTGCCACGACCGTCGCTAAACAGCGCGTCACTAATTTTTAGCAACACATGGCCAAAATTCGTTGCTACATGTAGTGACGGCTATTATCTGTTGCAAAGATTCGTCGCTACATTTGTGATGGAGATGATGTTGCTAAATCTGAATATTTACGTTGCTAATTTACATAACTAAATTTGTTGCTCTGGTCGTTACAAATATGTCGTCACAGTCGCCGTCGCTAAGAACGTTGTTAATATACCATCTCAAAATACGTCGCTGTGTTCGTTACTAATGATCCATCGCCGCATCCGTCACGAAATCTGTTGTAATGATTCATTACAAAATACATCTCTAATTCCGTTGTAAATAAGTTGTTGCAAAAAATATGACTAATTTTGTTGCTAGAAACTATCGCCAAATCAGTAACTGATACATATATCCATCACTAAATCCATCGCCAAAATTATGTTATTTATTAAAAAAACAATATTTTAATTATTCGATGCAATATTTTAATACATGCTACACGATAATTTGCCAATAAAAATTCATAGATCAATAAAAATAAATCAGCATAATAATATTCATAAATTTGTCCCAAAGAATTTCGAAAGTATTCTAGTAGCCTGCAAAATTGTCGGATTTAAAATTAAAAAACATATCCTACAAGTGTGATGTTGAACCTCTTTCTCATAATGATCCTTCAGGTTGACTTGACTGCATCCCTTTCATGGCAGCCTCAATGATTCGAAGTTTATCCTCAAAAGAAGCTTGCATATTGGCTAGTTTTTGCTCTACGACACGGTCAACAGCTTCTTGAAAGGTAGCAGTGTCAAGTAAGTTCTCAAAAGGGACTGGTGGAACTAGAGAAGAACTTGTCGGAGCACAAGATGTAAGGCCAGTTCCTTGCATAAGAGTGATGGATTCTGATCCAAGACCGTAAACTCTTCCTTTTATCGGCCCTCCAGTTGCTTCAACCCAAGCATTATCAAGAACTTCTTTAGAAAGAGTTGATGCCATTGAAATGAAGGCTTCGTCTTCATCTACATTATTTTCTTCTTCCTCTTCATCTACATCCTCATGTCCTTCTCCATCAATGTGTGGCTCACGAACATCATATAAACGACGCCTTTTGACGATATATTTTACTTATCCTGAGATATTACAAAATAAATAATAAATTTATAAAACATATTTGCATACACACATAAGCAGCTACTGGGAATAGACAAAGAGCTCTATATATATATATATATATATATATATATATATATATATATATATATATATATATATATATATATATTGCTGTCCTAACTATATTTATATATATTACTCATTACTCTCGTTTGAACAGGCTTGGCTAAAAGCTTCCTCAAACTATATTTATATCATCAAAACTAGATTAAACAAACTTATTTTGCATAAATCATGATTTAATTTTAATCAAAGACTGATCCAATAATTAGGACAGTAACACACATACACACATCTATATATATATATATATATATATATAAATCTTTAAGAAACAATTAATATCAAAATGATAGAAATGCTTACCCATGTAGATTTAGATTTAGTGTCAACCTAGTTCTTATTTTCTTTCGTCTTGTGAATCATCAAGAATAATTTTGAGGCACTAGGCTCGACCCCTTTCTCTTTCACCTAAAAGAAAGAAAAATTGATTAACTTTCAATTAATTGAGTTATAACAAGTATAGATTAACAAAACTATACATACATATCTTCTTTTATATTCTGATACAGGAATTGATCCTCCCGTATGCAAGGATGGACCTGCACCATCAATACTCGATTTTCTGTTACTGGAATTAGTATCTGACTTGTTCTTTAACTTATCAGTATTCCAATAAGCCATCAATTCATTCCAATGATTTTGATTGATCCACCTAGGTATCACTTTTTTCTCGTCAAATATTTTTTTCGCCTTATTCATGGTATTGCTCAAACTTGTACTTCCTTTGTGGTCAAAAAGTTTTCTAATAGCCAAGTGATCCTCATTATCCCAATAATAAAACTTATGCACACATTAAATAAATGTAACACATCAACAACAAACATATATGTATTTATAAATAATAAAATGCATAAATTAAGTGATGATATTTGATCTAAATTTCATGCTACATAACACAAGAATAACACACTGAACCGATACCTGAAAATCATCAAACCAACGATCCCTAACATAAATAAGGACATTTCTCCATGTAGCCCATGCACCACTAAATGATTTTTTGTATATCTCAACCAATCGTCTTGATGCATCGAAAGGATCAAAACTGTTAACAAAGGAAAATTATTTTCTTACACACTATTATATATTTTTTATTAAAATACACAAAAAATATTTTACCTATCTCCATCAACTTTCAACAAGATTCGTCTCGTAGCAAGTCTTTGTTGCGATCCAAGATTCTGTTGAGAATCACCTATTTCTCCTTGCTCCGACGAAGATATTTCTGATGCATTTGCTTGTGAACTCGGATTTAATGTTCAATAACATCGATATTACTGACAGTGGAGTATGAGACTTACAACCCTCATATAGTGGCTCCTCTGTAGCCTTAAGCAATTTATAAAATTTATCGGCAGTACTATTAGGAAG